CCCCTTTGATCTTATCTAGACCCCTTTGATCTTATCTAGACCCCTTGATCTTACCTTTACCTCCCTTCATCCGATCCTCATGCGCCACCTCTGCTCTGCCAATTAGTAAGGCCAATACCTGGAGTAGGCTGCATAGTTGTGGTGTATATACATAACACTTTGTAGGTCTACAATTATTTAGTTTCTACTATCAAAATAACTTATAGAATTAGGTGGTGTTAAGTAGGATAGGGAAGGTATAGAACTGGAGAATCTGCTATATGCATTATGAATGCATATAGCAGGGGAGAGTAATCTCCCCCGAAGGCATAGATTACGTAGAATGTGGGCCTTGGAACCCACCAACGACCTTCAGAAGCTGTGTGCAATCTGTTATTGCACGTGGTTTCCGTGGGGATGTTGGTGGGTTTCGGGCTTTGGGTAGTGGTTGTGGTGGGTGTTCTACGTTTTTTATGCCTTTGGCCAAACTGTGCAAAGTTAAATATTGATTCATTGAGTTTACACAATTTCATCATTTTGGAAAATTTAAGCGGCGTTCAGGGAGCATTTGTTTTGAAATTGGGCTATACAGAGACTTTGTAGACTGACTGATCTTACCTAGACCCCTTTGATCTTACCTAGACCCCCTTTGATCTTACCTAGACCCCCTTTGATCTTACCTAGACCCCCTTGATCTTACCTAGACCCCCTTTGATCTTACCTAGACCCCTTTGATCTTACCTAGACCCCCTTTGATCTTACCTAGACCCCTTTGATCTTACCTAGACCCCCTTTGATCTTACCTAGACCCCCTTTGATCTTACCTAGACCCCCTTTGATCTTACCTAGACCCCCTTGATCTTACCTAGACCCCCTTTGATCTTACCTAGACCCCCTTTGATCTTACCTAGACCCCCTTTGATCTTACCTAGACCCCCTTTGATCTTACCTAGACCCCTTTAATCTTACCTAGACCCCCTTTGATCTTACCTAGACCCCTTTGATCTTACCTAGACCCCCTTTGATCTTACCTAGACCCCCTTTGATCTTACCTAGACCCCTTTGATATTACCTAGACCCCCTTTGATATTACCTAGACCCCCTTTGATCTTACCTAGACCCCCTTTGATCTTACCTAAACCCCCTTGATCTTATCTAGACCCCTTGATCTTATCTAGGCCCCCTTGATTTTATCTAACCACCTTGATCTTACCTTTACCTCCTGTGGAAATTTATTTGGTCCCTAAAGTTCCACAGGACAGATACGATGTACGAAGGGGTCCCAGCATAGCCGTAATGGGACGGCTGAGCTGGCTGGCCTTTAAACCCTCCCAAACAAACAGCATTCTCTCTAGTTGGTGGGGATTGTTGGTAAGCTTATTTAATTTATAGATTTACCCTTCAGGGAAGGAGTAGGTAGTTTTACTGGTAGTACACTAATATTAGGATCATTGAGGCAACTGTAGACAATAATAATGTAGACCTAAGACCTTAACATAGGTAGTAATAGGCCGATAATGTAGGCAAACTAGGATAAGTTAGCTAGGGAGAACTGGCAGCCCTAGTTTGAACGAAGAGACGAGGGTCTGGAAGAGAGAGCAGCTCGTTCTTCTTAAGACAGACACCAACTGGACAAGACGTGCCGTGATCAGCAGACGGCGCCCCCCACGTGTCTTCACATTTTAGACCTGGGGAAATCTGGTAGAGTCACCTCGATGTACCGTAGATGACCTCCGTCAGGCCCATACAGTAAGACAAGACCTCCACTTTATCTCGTAGATTTCTGGCCAGTGTCTGGGGAGATTGTGAGTGAGTTTGATCTGTGGGCCCGGTGTGCAACAGGCAGAGCATGCCCAGTAAGTACCAGTGTCTCAAGGCAGTCTGGAAGCTAGTGTCCGTGTCTGCATAATTATACTAGGGGATGCATACCCTCTTGGATAAAGGAATTTCTGAGGTGCAGGCAGGACACTAATAACGATTGAATATTGCAGGAATTAAGGCTCCCGGTTGCATGTGGTTTCTGAGGGGAAGTCCAAAGGGGCTAAGGCTAAGCTTAGGGAAGTTGAAGATCAGGATACATGCTGCAACACCAAGTAAGTTAGTCCTTTATACGTGCATGCAGGCGAGTTTTCTTGCAACATCAATCATTTGTGAAAATCTGTCCTATAAGCCACTTGTGAGGCTGAGGTACCCATCTCAGAGCTCGGTGTCAACAGAGTTTGCCAGGGTAGGCGACTCACTTGGAGGCAGTCCACACAAATTTTCACACCTCCCTTCATCCGATCCTCATGCACCGCCACTGCTCTGCCAATTAATAAGGCCTATACCTGGAGTAGGCTGCATAGTTGTGGTGTATATACATAACACTTTGTAGGTCTACAATTATTTAGTTTCTACTATCAAAATAACTTATAGAATTAGGTGTTAAGTAGGATAGGGAAGGTATAGAACTGGAGAATCTGCTATATGCATTATGAATGCATATAGCAGGGGAGAGTAATCTTCCCTGAAGGCATAGATTACGTAGAATTGTGGGCCTTGGAACCCACCAACGACCTTCAGAAGCTGTGTGGAATCTTTTTTGCAGTTTCTAAGGGGATGTTGATGGGTTCCGGGCTTTGGGTAGTGGTTGCGGTGGGTATTCGACGTATTTTATGTCTTTAGCAAGTCTAATGTTGCTTTGTTTAGCGAGTTCAAAAAACTGACACTTGGGGAGGAAACTTGAAGTTTCGGTATAACCTGGGTTGTTTTGAGACAGCTTTCGACTACACCTGGCCTTAGTTTTGATACCTTTTTTCCTGGACCAGATTTCCCTAAATGGTGTACAATACCAGATTGGTAAAAGAGATATATTGATAGGTATCATTATTCATGAAATGTTTCGCTTGGGGAGTAGGCTTTATCTGTCGACTACACAGGTGACTAAATTGGAGAGTTAATTTTGAGCTCTACCTTCCAACCTTGATAAAAGATGATCAGTCTCTTAGCCAAACTTTTTATTTACTTCTAATTTCTTACCTAGCATTGGCCAACAGGAATACTGGAGTTTCTTTTCGTGTCTATTGTAAGCTCCTGTTGAACATTATTGGAGGTTAACTTGTCGCAATTTCCCCAATGTTTTTAGTCTTGACACTGTTTCAGCTACGAATATTGTTACTATAATGTTACTACTACCTCCACTACTACCTCCACTACTACCAGGACTTACTGCTAGACTGACTACCAGCACTTCTATTATTGCCAGTACTAATACTACCACCATTAGCATTATCACTGCCACCCTTGGTATTACCGCTAATCTTACCAGTACTACCTATACTACTACTACTACGGTCTATACCACTACAACTGTTTTTTGAAACTTGGTCCTTTATAATTTAACCCCCGCTTCCATGGTTTTTGCGACCTGTCATATGGCCTATTATACTTTTTGACCCTTGGTCTGACTTGATACTCGTCCAAGAGAACTCAAAAGATCATCTCGAATTGCTTCTCCATTGTTGGTTTTATATTTAGGTAGTTAGGTTAATAGAACTGGAGAATCTGCTATATGCATTATGAATGCATATAGCAGGGGAGAGTAATCTCCCCCGAAGGCATAGATTACGTAGAACTGTGGGCCTTGGAACCCACCAACGACCTTCAGAAGCTGTGTGCAATCTGTTATTGCACGTGGTTTCCGTGGGGATGTTGGTGGGTTTCGGGCTTTGGGTAGTGGTTGTGGTGGGTGTTCTACGTTTTTTATGCCTTTGGCCAAACTGTGCAAAGTTAAATATTGATTCATTGAGTTTACACAATTTCATCATTTCGGAAAATTTAAGCGGCGTTCAGGTTCCTATAAATATAAAAGTATTAGCGTTCAAAATTGCAGTTGGTTTGATAGTTTGTAAGTAGTGAAGTCTAACTCTTCTGGCAACAGTACGTTAGTGATGAAAATAATGAAAACCTCCGATCTGAAGTGAAGTGTTAGTCATCATGTTAGTGAATCCTTTGTTGAGTATAGTTAGGGGGGGGGATTTAGATTGCTATTAGTGAGAATAGGATTATTAACCCTGCTGGATTAGAAATCCAGAAAAAATAGAGAAGTAGAGAGTTGGGGGGCTTGAATGTATTGGTCCTCAGGCTGTGCCTAGGATGCCAGCCGTAACTGGCAGGTAAGGCATGCTATGAATTCAGGCTAGCATAGTAGTGTGAGTTAGGAAATTGGTATACGGCAGGCCTCCAACTAGTTAGATAGCACACTAGACTAACAATCAACACTATGGGTTATAAGGGACGTGGAAGTGTCGGGGAAATATAATGTTGTCTTAATGATCCTAACTAACTACATGTTAAATTTGGATGCCCTTAAAGGAGTGCCTTTGTATCAAGATACCTTCACTAGTACAGTTGCAAGTACCCTCCTCTTCCTTGGATCAAACCTGATGTTAACATTCCCCAAGCTGTGTATAATCCCTATGGATAATAGATATGGGAAATTTTATTTGGGTAAATGATCACACATGTAAAATAGTTTGGATGGGAGGGGGGGGGAAGGTAAAGTCTTGGGACAGGTCGATGAAAGTGTCAGGTTTGATTCAGAGGAGAGTAGTGTAAGTTGACTAAATTTTTTTTCCAGTTAAATATAGGCGTCTAAGGTATAGTAGGTTTGGCTAGGTTGTAATATGTTACGGAATCTACCCTCCAACTTGTGTGTCAGGAGGATTCTGCGCCAATTAAACAGAACACTAGAGACAAGAGGTGATCATGTCTTAAGTTTAACACAGGCTGAGTGAATGTTGTACTGTCCAGTGTCTCAACACTTGTCAGGAAGCTAATACAAACACAAGGTCAGGAAATTTAAAAATGTATTATACCTCAAACTATTAATAATAGTTGTAATGAGGCGGATAGCCTCACTACTGCTATTGTTAGTAGGGTTGGGGTAGGTATATTTTTTTTTTTTTTCCTCCGAGCTTAAAGCTCCCGAATTGTGTGAATGTTGTCCTGCTGACAAATACAGCAGTTGAGGCTTGCCTCAGTTATTTCTTTTTCATATTTCTTTGGTGTTCCTTGAACATTGCTGCGATAATTAAAATACTATTAAGTGAATCGAATCTTGTAGGTTGAAGATATTCCCCATGTGGGCAGCTGCTGTGTGGTGAAGTCCGTGTTGTGGGCAGCTGCTGTGTGGTGAAGTCCGTGTTGTGGGCAGCTGCTGTGTGGTGAAGTCCGTGTTGTGGGCAGCTGCTGTGTGGTGAAGTCCGTGTTGTGGGCAGCTGCTGTGTGGTGAAGTCCGTGTTGTGGGCAGCTGCTGTGTGGTGAAGTCCGTGTTGTGGGCAGCTGCTGTGTGGTGAAGTCCGTGTTGTGGGCAGCTGCTGTGTGGTGAAGTCCGTGTTGTGGGCAGCTGCTGTGTGGTGAAGTCCGTGTTGTGGGCAGCTGCTGTGTGGTGAAGTCCGTGTTGTGGGCAGCTGCAAGTCTTCAGAGATGTCATCACCAGCAGCAACACCCCAAAACAATGTCTGCAAAGATTATTCATGAACTGCAGTAAGCAATGGTTTGAAGTCTATGCATTTAGAATGCTTTCTTCAACATTTTGTAGAAAGAAAATTTGCTAAAATAGCTGATCTATCAAAAATTACCATGAAATTGGAGTAATCCAAGTTGATGGAACTGGAAGAGCTGGAGGTGTTGATGGTGTGGTGGATGGCAGAGGAGTGACTAGTGGCGCCACTATTCTTGACCTCCATGGCTAAATGGCGCCATTGACCTGGAGGAGGGGAGGGGATGATGTCGTCAGTGGTTGTTTGTGGAGGGGGAAGGTCGTTAGCGGAAGGGTCGGGGGTTGGCTGCTGGTGGAGGGGTTTGAGGGTGAGTAGTTAGTTGTTACTGGTGGGAGGGTGATGGGGAGGGGGGTAGGGGATGGTTGTCACTTGGTAATTTCTAATTGACTAACACTTGATATTTGAAACTCCCTGGACACTAGCCCAAAGCCACATATTTGTAATTCTAACGAACAATGTCCATGGACTCGCGTTGACCTGTGATACTCCAATACTGAAACTGTGTATAGTGCCAAAACAAAAGCATTCACATTGCTAAAGTCGCAAACTAGTATTTAGTCACATAGCCATAATACCAACCTACCTCATAATTTTGTAATATTTTAAACTTAAGATTTAATCTAAGTCTGCCCAAAATGCCTAGCCATGCTAGGTGTTCTAGTGGTACACTGTAATTATTATTTTACTACATGTAAACCACACAATAACCAAATTCTGTAAACTCAGCATTGTAATCCTTATAGAGAATAAACTTTGAATTTGAATTTGAAAACCGTCTCCTTGATGTTGGGCTTATGTATTTGACATCTCTTGTGGGTTTAGTACTTAGTTTTGATCAGGGCCGAATTAAGACCTTGGGGGGCCCGGGACACTTTAGGCTTGGGGGGACCATGGACACTTAAGGCTTGGGGGGGCCCTAAACATGAAAATTAAATTGAATTACAAATAAGAAATGAACTAAAATGAATGATGAACAGCAGCTTTTGAAAAAAAAAAAAGTTTGGTTACAAAGCAGACGTCTTATTTTTCTCAGTTTTATTGACTTTAAGAATAACTGACTATAATTTTCAGTTTGTAATATATTCCATCTACACTATATAATAATTACCGATGTGTATTTATTAATATCTTTGGTGTCACGCTTTCGGTATCTATGGTGACAGTTGACCAAAAGGACACAAGCTTTTCTCTGACAGGAAACCACATGGCTGGGTCTGAATCACATGGTGGCGCTTCACTGTCCATGTCTACACAAGTATCTATAGAATGTGGTTGTGGTGATTCATAGCCTTTACTATCTTGTTTCGGTATGTTCTTTTTATTTTCTGCAGATGTACTTGGGAATGAGGGCGGGTCCTCAGAAGAAACATCTGGTAGTGGTACTGGTTCTTCATTTTTTAAATATACAGTATACATGCATATCACACATCGACGTAATCACAATACATGAAACATTTATAAGAAAACATCCTTATAACTAACGGATGACAACCTACCCCTGAACATACATAATAAAATTGCCACTAGCCAAAACTGACATTTGTATTCATATCTTGTATGAAACTGTATATACAAAAGTTTTTATATATAAACTAATGCTTTGGCCCCTTACTGTACATTGTAATATTAGCATTTTATGTACCTAAACATTCCGTAGCTATTCATCCCCTAATTTTGTATGTTTTATTTAGAGCACAGGTATACAATATACATGTAATCATACATGATTGACTGAAATTACTAAACATGAAGCTATAATAAGAAATACACCATCCTTGTAACTAAACGATTTACTACCCACACCTGAATATACGTGACAAAAAATGCTACAAAACTTGCATGTATAAGCTCTGTATATGTAACTGTAAACTATACATGAAAAACTTGCATCAAGAACATAGCACTTAACAAAAACAGTACCAGGGTTGTGACCTAAATCAATATACACTTTAAATGTACCAAAACCAAACATATATAAATTTTTACATAAAACAAAGTGACATTAAACAATAAGTTGATACATGCCTCCTCTCACCACACACAAGGTACACAGTATGAACAGTTTGAAAAATGACCCCGTAATCCTTATATGTGTATATAATCCTATCTCATTAACCTCCATTCAGAGATGAGCCCTTAATAGGGCAACGTTCAATACTGTCTCCTATAACAAAACATTCTATTACACCCCATCCCCCTCTTCTCCCTCATTTAGGCAACCACCACTGTCTCTCAGTCTCCCAGCTGTACATGAGCATATAAGTCTGTCACATCGCAACAGTATCTCAATCACAACAAACCACACCCAAGCATTCTTACTGCATACATGCATACAATACCTCTAAACAATAATATTTACCTCAACCCTCTGACAGAGGTGTGATGGTAAGTGACCAAGCATAGCAAGGCGTTATATACACAGAGGGTAATACAGTCATCCCATGGGACACGCATGCAAAGATATAAACCTAAATTCTCCACTATCAAACTGGATCACACACTTAAACCAGCTAGCATCACACGTACCTCCTAACACCTACTAACACACTGAACCTTCCCTCGTTTCCATCTAAGCCATACACACACACACACACACACACACACACACGCACACACACACACACACACACACACACACACACACATACACACACCACCACAGAATCTCCCACCAAAAGACTCCAACCACGACATTCCCAACGAAACTGAGCAACCTATACTACAACCCACTCACTGTTCCCTCTGCCACCAACCCCCATATCACAAACCTCACCCCAACAGCTGTCCCTTATGGGCATTCTGACCCCACCCCCATCATCACAAACCCCACCTACACCACAGCCCCATATAGGCCCCCACCAAGGATCTCGCTCCCCAACCCCAATATTCTTGCATGACCACAATGATAGAAAAGAAACTGAAAGTTTGGTACACAAACGCGGATGGAATAACGAATAAATATGAGTGGAACGAAAGAATCAGTGAAAAATCCCCAGACATCATAGCAGTCACAGAAACAAAACTCGCTGAGACAATAACAGACACAATCTTCCCAATGGGATATCAGATCCTGAGGAAAGATAGAAGGAGTAGAGGGGGAAGAGGGGTTGCACTGCTCATAAAACACCGATGGGGATTTGAGGAAATGGAAGGCATGGACATGATTGGAGAAAGAGACTACATTGTAGGTACAATTCAGTCCGGAGAACATAAAGTAGTCATTGGAGTGATGTATAACCCACCACAGAACTGCAGGAGGCCAAGAGAGGAGTACGAAGAAAACAACAGGGTGATGGTGGACACACTGGCTGAGGTGGCAAGAAGAGCTCACTCGAGCAGAGCAAAGTTACTGGTAATGGGCGATTTCAACCACAGGGAGATCGACTGGGAAAACCTGGAGCCACATGGGGGTCCCGAAACATGGAGAGCCAAGATGATGGATGTGGTACTTGAAAACCTCATGCATCAACATGTCAGGGACACAACCAGAGAGAGAGGGGAGGATGAGCCAGCAAGACTGGATCTTGTGTTCACCCTGAGCAGTTCAGACATTGAGGACATCACTTACGAGAGGCCCCTTGGAGCTAGCGATCATGTGGTTCTGAGTTTTGATTATATAGTAGAGTTACAAGTGGAGAAGGTAACAGGAACTGAAGGGGTCAGGCCAAACTATAAAAGGGGGGACTACACAGGTATGAGAAACTTCCTGCAGGAGGTTCAGTGGGACAGAGAAATGGTAGGAAAATCAGTAAACGAGATGATGGAATATGTGGCAACAAAGTGCAAGGAGGCAGAGGAAAGTTTTGTTCCCAAGGGAAACAGAAATAATAGGAAGACCAAAACGAGTCCTTGGTTAACCGAAGGTGTAGGGAGGCAAAAACTAAGTGCAACAGAGAATGGAAAAGGTACAGGAGGCATAGGACCCAGGAAAACAAGGAGATTAGTAGAAGAGCCAGAAACGAGTATGCACAGATAAGGAGGGAGGCCCAGCGACAGTATGAAAACGACATAGCATCGAAAGTCAAATCTGACCCGAAACTGCTGTATAGCCACATTAGGAGGAAGACAACAGTCAAGGACCAGGTGATAAGGCTGAGGAAAGAAGGTGGAGAACTCACAAGAAACGATCAAGAGGTATGTGAGGAGCTCAACACGAGATTTAAGGAAGTATTTACAGTAGAGACAGGAAGGACTCTGGGGGGACAGACCAGATGGGGACACCAGCAAGGAATACACCAACAAGTGTTGGAAGACATACATACAGATGAGGAGGAGGTGAAGAAACTGCTAAGGGACATCGATACCTCAAAGACAATGGGACCGGACAACATCTCCCCATGGGTCCTTAGAGAGGGAGCAGATATGTTGTGCGTGCCACTTACCACAATCTTCAACACGTCCCTGGAAACTGGGCAACTACCTGAGGTATGGAAGACGGCAAATGTAGTTCCCATTTTTAAAAAAGGAAACAGAAAAGAGGCACTAAACTATAGACCTGTGTCATTGATGTGTATAGTATGCAAAATTATGGAGAAGATTATCAGGAGGAGAGTGGTGGAGCACCTGGAACGGAACAAGAGTATAAATGCCAACCAGCACAGATTCATGGAAGGCAAATCCTGTGTCACAAACCTTCTGGAGTTTTATGATAAAATAACAGAAGTAAGACACGAGAGAGAGGGGTGGGTTGATTGCATCTTCTTGGACTGCAAGAAGGCCTTTGACACAGTTCCTCGCAAGAGATTAGTGCAGAAGCTAGAGCATCAGGCGCATATAACGGGAAGGGCACTGCAATGGATCAGAGAATACCTGACAGGGAGACAACAACGAGTCATGGTACGTAATGATGTATCACAGTGGGCACCTGTGACGAGCGGGGTCCCACAGGGTCGGTCCTAGGACCAGTGCTATTTTTGGTATATGTGAACGACATGATGGAAGGGTTAGACTCAGAAGTGTCCCTGTTTGCAGATGATGTGAAGTTAATGAAGAGAATTAAATCTGATGAGGACCAGGCAGGACTTCAAAGAGACCTGGACAGACTGGACACCTGGTCCAGCAAATGGCTTCTCGAATTTAATCCTGCCAAATGCAAAGTCATGAAGATAGGGGAAGGGCACAGAAGACCACAGACCGAGTATAGGCTAGGTGGCCAAAGACTGCAAACCTCACTCAAGGAGAAAGATCTTGGGGTGAGTATAAC